TTGCCCAGCAGGAGCCAGGCACAGCGCTGCTCACGCACGGCGTGGCTGTGTTTAGCCAAGGGGCTTGCACATCAGAGCTGCTGTGTGATCTACAAACGGGCCCTTGTACAGCCACGAAGGCCAAAAATAACAGAGTTTGATGGGACAGTGAAAAGCAAACTGCAAAGAGCTCTCGGGCAACTCAAGTTCTTCCCCCGAGAACAGCAGTGTCGGGAAGGTTTCTATGAGGCTGACCGTGAGCCAGAGGCGCCCCGAGTAGCCCAGCACCTCCTTCAGGGAGCTACTTCTCCCTGGGCAGCCTCCTGGGGGCACGGAGATGCTCTCGAGCTCTTCGAGGAATGCCTTGTATGTCTCGCCACCGCTTGCTGGGGGACGCTGACATCGTCTGGGACAGAATTAGAAAACCTTGAGCGGGAGGCAGGGCGACTGGGCACAAGTGCTAAGTCAGCCACAGGCTATATGCGGCACACCAGCTGGTGCCTCCCCTCCCTCCCTCCCGACCCAGGGCACATGCACGCTTCCCCCAGCCCTTCTCAAGCATCCCCCGTGCAAGTAAAGGGCAAACGCACTCTCTCAGGCTGCCCGTAACCAAATCCACCACAGCAGCCTTGTGTTTTCAGATATCCATTCCCTTGCCTGCTCCTTTGAAGCTGTTTGACTTCAGCCTGCACCACTGATAGCCTAGGCACAGCCCAGCGTGTCAGTGCCTTACACAGCGCGCGGAGGAGCCAGAAGACAAATCCTCCTTCCTTCGGCACGCCCATCGCCTCCCTCCAGCCAGAGCCCTTCACTCGTGCCCGTAACCCAGCCTTCATGCCATTCACACGGCACTGTTTGCTGGTCACTTTCCTGTGGTCACCTTCCTGTGCTCTCCCCTGCCCATCCAAGGACAGAGCAACATGTAGGCTCAAAACGTTTTTGGGAAGGCTCACCCTTGTTATGGTGCCTTAGCCAAAATCCAGCAGAATGCACAGCCATGTGCCCATAACCACGCGTGCATAGAAGACCTCATTCGACCAAGACAGCTCTGAACATGCTGACCCAACCATTTACCGGGCAAGACTCCTTCCCCAGCTGGCCAGGGTGCCACGTAGCTGCAAGTGCCTCAGGTAGGAACAGGCTTTACTTTTCTGTGTTGAAAGGACCTTGCACTGAGACAAAGCCAAACCACTGGTAGAAGAATTTGGTGCCTTGGTGCACGCAGTCAGCATCGTAGCCTGAAGCTGAGATCTTGAGAGAATTTGCTGGCAGCAGATCCCCAGCTTGTTACTTTAAGCCTGTGATGAAACGTGGGAGAATCAAAGCAGACAAGCAGTCTGGCCAAGGCAGAAATCTCCCTTACAACCCCAGATCCCACATCTATGAGAGCACAAGAACCTCTGCAGCATCTTGATGTGGAAAGATGCAACTAGTCTCTACCACCTCAAGAACAGCTTATTGTGGTGAAATGGATTATATTCCTTCCCAACTTGTTACAAATTATAGTAACTCTGATAACTGCCTAAATGTTTGATTCCTTTCTACATCTTGTTATGTTCTTGGCCTTAGGTAGTCCCCCTGGCAACAGGATTCACAGCTTCAGCTTGGTGCAGGAAAAAACACCGTATTCACATACTGGTTCTGTAGCTCACTGACCCTCCTTTGTCTGGTTTCAACAAGCTTCTCCATGGCATTCCCTGTGCGCCTTGTGACTTTGGATAATAGGATCACTTCCCACTTATCAGCTAAACAAAGTAGGTGGTTGTACCATGGCACAGCTCCAAGCCGCTGCAATCGGTCTCAAAGCTCAGTGCTTGCCAAATGGCACACACACGCTTACAGCTTTTCCTGCTGACACTGCAGCCACCCAACCTTCAGCAGACGAACACCGCAAATGCTCAACAGCAACAGGTGTCAGGCAGGAGTTTATCACAGGAAACGAAGGACATGTCAGACAGCTGAAATGGTAGAAGATGAGTAGGTACGGGACAGCAGAAATGCTCCAAGAAGAGACCGAAATAGGTAGTTGTAAATACTGCCTGTATGCCGAGTGCTGCACACCTTGCCTGAAAGCGAGCTCCCCTGGGCCCTCCCAATGACTGCTATCTCGGGCAGCCTACGGCTCCCAGAGGGAAACCACTGGCCTGCGCCCTTCCGAGCAAATCTACATGGGAAGAAGCAGGCTTTACCTTCTGATCCCTGTGCAACATGCTGCAGGTATACTGGGAGCAGCAAAAAAAGTGTTTCTTGGGCACTCGTTATAGCGTGTGGGCCTTGGTGGACATACCAGAAGCATAAGAGGAAAACAAAGGTCCTTCCTAGACAAGTATATTCATTTTTTAATTACTAGGAAAATGGGAATCAAGGTAATTGCATCCTCAGTCATTTTAGACAGCAAAAGGCAGAAGTGTCAAAGGGAGCCCGCTGTGAGACAGAGCAGAAGCAGTGGCACTCACCCTTGCATCCAACAGCTTGCCCATTCCCCTGGCATACGGAAGATCCAGCCTTCTACTTTGGTGCCTGGATCTAAACCGGCATCTCCCTCCTCCAAAAGGAGCACCCGGCTCCCTGGGCTATAGGAAACCCTCTGGCAGAGGCATCTTGGTAAAGACTGGCCCAGAAAGGCAGACTTAAAAGCAACTGCAGAAGGACGGCAGCCCTCCCACCCCAGTGCTGCCATCAGCACCATCTCTGTGACCCTAGCTTGAAGAAGCCAGATACTTCATTTTGAAAGTGTCAGAATTAATCATATCAGTGCTTCAGAGGGAAGAACACACCTCCCTTTATTAAACCGACCAAATTTGGCCCAAATGCATCAAGTTTTGCATTGGCCAATACCGCATCTTCATCAAACTTTGGGAAAAATGAAACAAAACAAAACCAAGCAGATCCAAACCTGTTTCTGCAAGTGACAGGACTAACGGAGCACGGCACCAAACAAACATTCCCCCTGCTGCATTTTCTGGGGCCTGGTGAAACCCAAATCCCCCTCCCTGCTGACGCTGCCTCCCCCTGCTGCGGGATTCTCCTGCGGGATGGAGGTGCCCACGCACCCCCAGCAGGACAGATGCCAGCGATACCTCGCATCCTCAGCTGCTGCTGCTTTCTCTTAGAAGTGGATCTGGGCAAATCCCAGCGAGTGTGAGGCTGGGAAGCGGCTGCTAACAGCACAGGAGGAGCCCTCCTGCTGCAGCACCTGGCCCCAGAGCACGGGGACACATCTCCTCCATGTCACCTGGGGCTTCGCTCCCTGGGGACAGGCAGGGGCACACCACACACGCTCCCAGGGATGCCTTGGGGCACATCCAAGCTCACCCACAGCACCCTGTCCCAAGAAACGTGACAGAATCCAAATCCTTAACCCAGCTGGTAAAATAAGGACCTGCCACCCACTTCCTTCTTTGCACCTGCTCATCTTCCCACCTGATCAATAAGCAATTATTTTGTGGCAGCTCCTCACAAAATCTCTTTTCCTGACAGCCATCTGCTTTCTTAGGCCACACAGTAAATTCATGCTTCATTTCTGGGAGCCTGTCTTCCTTAGTTTAACAAATATTTGATGGTGGCTTTCACGACTATTTCATTGCAAACCTCTGGTGACTGCAGAAATTACTGGACTTTTTGTGTCACTGGTTTTTGCAATTAAAGTTCTCATAGGTGTAGAGATGCATTAAAAAAAAACAAAAAAGAAAAAAAAAAGATTTCCAACTAAGTTACATCTCCAGGATCCATTTCTGCTGGTGGATTTTGCAAAAGTTTGGTTTGTGCAGTGTAGGACAACAGCATCACACAAAGGCCTTTGAGGGCTGAATTTCTAAGCACTTGCAGAGTGCAGTTCACAAAACTCATAATGGCCCCACCAAAAGCCTCGCACTCGGGAGGCTGAAGAGTGAATGGAAGAGACTGCTGGACCAGGGAAGAGTAAAGAGCAGCTCTGAATTTCTCTGCAGAAGATCTCAATCATACAGATCAGGGAAACCAGGTCTGAAAGTCAGAAGCTGCTTTGTCGTGCTGAAGAGTCTTGTTGACAACAAAGCTGCCTCCTGCTGAAAGCTGCATCTTCCAGTGAGACCTGGAGAGCACAGGGGGCCCATCAGGGGGCTGCGGGGTAGAAGGAGAAACAGACATAGGATGGGCAGCCAAACAAGGGGACAACAGAAACTCCTCCTGTGCCTGGTGGCTAGTTGCTGATTATAACTACTGTATGAGAAGGAAACCTTTTGTGGGGGAAAACATGGCATCCAGCTGATCTCCGGTCTATCTCGGGCTCAGCTTATCCAAAGGAAAGGAAAAAAAAAAAAAAAAAAGATCAAAAGGAAGAAATTAAAGGAAGCAATTTTAAATTTTAAACAGGGTCTTAATGTGATAGAAAGGAAGTCAGAGCAGCTGAGAAACGCCCAGGGTTTGGAGAGACGCCTTGGTTGAAGACACTGCGGTGTTTTCCATATTTGTCTGCTTTATTTTTAAACACCCAGAGCCTTTGCTTGATCAACACTTCCTTGTAAAAGGAGGAAGCAGAGGAGGAGTACGGGGCTCTGGGGAGAGAGGCAAACGAGGCTGGAAATTGATGATCTTCCCAGCCATTAAAGTCAAAATTCCTGCTTGAAACCAAACCCTCCTGGAGCACTACGCAGGCATGGGGGAGAAGGGGAGGGAAGGAGAGAATATTTATTACTTCAGCAGAACCGAGGTTCTGATGAGAAAAAAGGACCGCTCAACCCATGTCCGAATGTCGGCAGCAGATCTGAAGCTGGGTTTGTCACGTTTCCCCTCCGCTTTCCACACCTTCAAAAAAATAAAAATAAAAAAATGCAGGGAAGGTGGCTGGGGTTTTTAAAGAGGGGTGGGGGGGAAGCCACCGAGGTCCCTTGATCTTATGAAGCCCTGAACTCTTACATTCCATTTATAGCCCGAGCTGGAATGACATCCCCCTTGATTAGCAAGCTGTCCAATCCAGCTGCCTGGGTCAGGACTGTACAAGGCACTAAGTGAAATATATATATGCCCTTTTAGATTTTAGCACATTGGGTCCACCCCCAGGGCACAGGCTGTAGCTCATTCTGACCACTGCTTCTCTCCCAGGAATCACTTCTAAAGGGTTTTTAAACTTTTTTTGGGGGGGGGTTACCTTTACTCTCAAGTTTAAGCAACACAAAATGGCACCAAAGAAGGACGTAAAGAAACCAGCAGCAGCCGCAGCACCAGCACCAGCACCCGCCCCAGCACCAGCACCGGCGCCCGCTAAACCCAAAGAGCCAGCAATTGATCTCAAGAGCATCAAGGTAAATGGATGAACGTGTGCTGAGCGCTGACCCCGAGCGCTCCCGAAGGGGAAAGTTAGCAGAGTCCTTGCTGAAACTGGCAGGGAAACGTTGTGTGTGTTTTTTTCCTGCTTGGGGACTGTGGTGAAATGAATGAGTAACCCCCCAGGGATTGATTTCTTGATCTGCCTGAGCTTTCGGTTGTGTTAGTAGCTGGAGGGATGCGAGGCATGGCGCATGATTTAATGCAAGAATGAAGCCTGGTGATTTCAAACGTGTTGTAGAAGGTGGCCCTCAGAACTTTTTACCAAATCAGTATCAGTCTGACCTGTTTTGTAAAGCTGAATTTTAAAGTTCCACCAAAAAAATCCTCAACCCCCAAGCCCTGACCTAAATGCATGAGGGTTGGAAACGGTTACTGAAAAGTGAAATGAAATGTTTTCCCATAGCACGGTACTAAAACCAGATGTTATTTTGCAGTTTCCCCTCAAATTTATTTCCAAATTTTTGAAAATACCTGATAACCCTTTGGCCATGTGTTCTGAGATCAGCACTCCTTATCTTTAAAAGCAGAGATGAAAAGGATTCGCCAATTTCATCTATTTTCATTCTCTTTGCACAACAAACATTGAGAGAGACCCACGAGCTAGAAACCCACAAAGGGAAGTATTTCAAGTGATTTCCCCTCATCTTTTCATGTTTACTCAAAATTTGCAATTTGCTTCATATTGAAAGTAACCAAGAAAAGATTTGCAGAGGTTTCCCTTGACCGCACATCCATTGGAACTTGCGCTGAATCGAGACTTTGCATGCCACCTGACATCACCAATTGCTGCCTGGCCCCTTCAAAGAGAATTCCTGAAATTCCCTTCAAAGGGAAATTCTCTATTTAGAAAGAGCAGAGAGAGAGGTTAAGCAGTTAAAGAGATGAAGGGACAGACCCACTTCTCTGGGCATGACTATACATAGTTATTCTCCACCTACCTGACAAGCTGATTGGTCCCAGGGCCAGTTTGCTGAACGCTGCATAAGGAATCATGCCTACTAGGAAGAAAAGAAGGAGTACAAGGTCTCCTAATAGGACCTACTCATTTTAATTTCATGATGAATTCTGCTTCAGGTGCCTTAGTACACACAGTCTGTCACCCATACAGTCCCAGGATTCTGACCCATTTGGTAAAATTTCTTGAAGTTTTAACTTTCACCACCAGTAGCCAGTCCCTTGCTGAAAGAGCACATAGTTTCTTGCAAGGCTGAAGCTGAACTCACTGGCAAAGCAAAACCAAGAGCAAGAAGGGGTGGGAAAAGACACTTTGGAATATTTAGAGTGATCTTAGTAAAGGCTACAAAGAAAGCCAACTGTTCTGGAGAATACTGTCTGAAAATTAGATAAGACCTCACATTTCACCCATCTCCAGAGATGAAGGGGACACAAGCTAGATTGCCTACTAAATATTTTAATATGATTTGATAGCTCTCTGTGTCCAGTTCATTAGGAGAAAATAGAATTTTCAACTCCAGTGATCCCAGCTAATCTGTCTTTAAATAAATAGACTTAACAGTGTATTACCCACTGAAAAATGGCCGGCTGCAGTCTGAGGCATCTCTGTGGTTCAGTCCAACCTACTCCTCTACCCAGGCAGCTCTCTGTCGCAGCAGGATATATATACAGGTAGCAGAGAGAACACGCTGGGTTTTGTCACGTTGGGACTGAGAAAAGATAGCCTTCCTGAATTCTTTTTTTTGAAAGATAACATCAGACACTATTCTTCCTCTGTGATGTGCAGAAAAACCTGGGCTGCGTAAGACAAAAATATTCCCTTACCATTAGTGGAAGCACATAAGCATTACTGTTCTTATTTGCAAATGAGTAAAGCTATGAGCAGCACGATGGATGGTGCAGGGCTGCCCTGCCACGTGCTGGTGGCACAGCCCCTGCCACACTTGCTCGTCATTGTCGTAGATCCCTCTCTGAGCATCCCCTCTGCTCTTCATCCTGACCTCAAGGAAGCCTTGAGGCACTGCAAGGAGGGACAGAGCCCCCCAGCACTGAGGGGTCCACCCCATGGCACAGCAGTCACCACAGGGTGACGCAGGAGCCCGCACTGCCTGTGAGGGTGAAGTGTCCCCTCTGTCCCCAGCCTTCCCCTCTTACCTGAGCCTCCACAGCAGGCCAGAGCTGCCCAGGTAGACTGTGGCACCTCCAGGGCTGGCTCTTTGGGAAGACACCAGGAACAACCACAGCACCTTTGACACAGACTTGGAACAGGAGCAGGGGCTGGAAAACCTCCTGAGGTCCCAACCAGCCACCCTGGGCTACCCAGCTGCATTCTTTGAGACCTCAGGCAGTGATGGGAAATAGCATCCTCCTCTAAACAATTTGCTAGGGAGATATATGTGGCGGAGTCAGGAATCATAATTCACATTTTCTGACTTCTAGCTCAATCCCTTCTTTAGCATTAATTAATCCTGAATCCTTCCATTTGGCCAGGAAAGCATCAGCACAAGAAAAAGCACAGCACCATTTCCAGCCAAACTCTGGAGCCAAAGAGTACTTAAAGCTAAGCTTCTGACCAGGACTCTCAGTAAACAAACCAAGTCCTGGGGCTCTTTGCACTGATTTACCAGTCAAAACCTCCAGCCCTCCCAACAAGTCCCTTTCCAAACGGCCCCGCTGTGCTCACCAGGGGAATTAGCAGCCATGCTGCAGCTTGCTGCTAACAAGGGATTCCTGGGAACACCTAGCTGTGGGGCCGGTGATAATCTGGGGAGTCACAAAGCAGGCAGATGCACAGAAAAGCTTCTGTAATTTTTACACAAGATCCCCCAAGCTCCTTCCATATCTTACAGCTGGAGCAGGTAAGAGTGGAGCTGCCTAATCAGGGTACAGCTGCTAAATAATCCAAACCTGGCTGTGCACTTCATTTCAATTGTCATCCAAGATAATGCCTCCAGAATAAACAATAAAGAGGTTTAGCAATATGAGAGGGGATTCTTTTGGGGGCACCCCTTCCCTTGGATGCCCTGTTCGGTCTGCCTTCAAGGAAACTGGTTTTGGGCCTCTTGGTGCATGCTTTGAAAGCCAGCCCTATTTATGAAGTTTCAAGCTGGGTTCTTGCAAAAGCAGGCACCCCAAAACCACCTGGCATCCTCAGAAGCAGTGACAGGCCTCTCACCCTCTCGCATCAATATTGTCTGTTCTTTCTTCCCCCTCCACCCTAAATTAACCAAATCAAAGCAAATCTTTGGTGATTTCCTAGTACCAGATTTTCTAGTTTTGAGCACCACCTATTGACTCCAGCACTGAGTAACAGGAATACCAGACTGCTAGAGACCCAAATCTAAACTCAGCCCTTTATCACCTCACCTCACCGTAACCAGCACAGGAAGGGAACCAAGGCAAAGACTGGGAGGAGGAGGAATTCGTTTTGATGTGGAAAATTAAAAGACCCTTCTTCCTCCTACTCAAGAAAACAAAACTCAGAATTTACTCTATACAAATCTTTCCGGCCTTAATTTATATTTCCAATTTTCCTTATCACTTGGGCATCCTGGGACTTGAATGTCAGGTGCACAGGTCAATAGTTAAGTCATAACTGACAGGAAAAGAACAGGGTGATGGACACAATGGGACGTTACCAACTGGACTTTAACAGGAACCGACAACAATTAAGAGAGAAATGACCATTTGGGTCATTTTGTTAAGAGACCCCTGGATTTTTTTATTTTTAACCTAAGACTCTAGGAAGGGCATTCTCACAAAACGTAGCTCGTTTGTTTTGTCAGCTTTTTTCTCCCACGCACACCTAAGCAAGAAACTCTGAGCTGACGAACAGCACTGCTGTGGGCCACTTCTGATGAGGATTCCTCACGTGTTGGGTTTTGCAGCAGAGGCAGGGAGAAATGCCTAAACTTCATACTGTCCAAATCAGAAGCAGATAGAGAGGGTTTGTTGTGTTCAACTTTGTCCATATCACCAACACAGAGAGTGTGCTTTTGTTGTTGTTGTTGTTTTTACTGGAAATCTAAGGGTCCTGCCCAGCCTCACAGCATTGGCCATAAGGCTTTGGGACCTGGAGATGCTGAGCTCAGTGCTTTGTAGGCTCCCGCTCTGCAAAAGGTGACCTGAACACACAGTGTTTCGCCAGGCCCTTTGCTTACAAGGGTACACCTGAGGGTACTTGCAAGTATCCACAGTATAAGCGACACTCGTTTGGTGCACGAGGCTTCCCACACTGCTGCTTTCAAGATGAAATTCCATGGCCAGGGACCAATTATGCTAAGCCCTGTTGCAGATAAGCTACCTATATCCATAGGGGAAAGTAATTCAGAGCTATCCACTAGTAAAGACTTGCTGAGGCCTTGTGCAACCGTGTGATGCATGATGGAGCCTGCTGCATGGAAAACAAACCTGTGTGATTGTTTTGCTTTTAAATACAGAGCTCTTAAGGCTGTAAAAAGTGTTTCTTCAAACGTCCTAACTCTTATTACATTTACTACTCAAGGAGGTGACCTCTGAACAGGCATTGCGTTGGATATAACCAGAGAGAGGTAATGTCCCTAAATGCACTGACAGAAAGCTGCTGGGCTGGAGGGCAAGCAGGACTACAAATGTCAGCTGAAGCGCCCAGAGCGACTACGCTGCAGACAAACTCTGTGCGAAGTGGCACAGTGAGAACAGGAAGGTTAGCAGGAGCTGTGCTCACAGCACTAAAGGCTTTCTTGGGAACTGGCAGGTTCTTGGCTGAAGTTTTTGGCGCGGGCCTTTAGGTTATGCCTGATCCAACCCCAGTGATGACTCCAGAAAGATTCTTTAGGACGGACATACCTGCTGGACAAGGTCACCAGCCCCAAAGCGCCCTTCAGGTAGGACAGAGACAAACACAAGTACAACTTTGCCTGGAGAGATGTGCAAGTACCTATCTGACCATCCAGGCCAGCTTCCTCCTATCACTTTGACTGCTGAGACACAGCAGCATTTTGGATCCACTCCAGAGCAGCCCCGGCCACCACTCAGGAAG